ACAAAGGGAATTACTTACGCCCTGGGAAATAAAAACAAGATGTAAATCCAACATTTCACCCACCCAGAAATCATCACGGCCCCGCAAATGCGTGGTGCACTGTTATATTTATTGCAGACAAGTTGCACGCTCGCGTCACTTACACAAATACACAATTATAAATCACGTAAGAAACGTGCCACTTTTTCAGTCTCGGAGCATCGTCGCACGTACGGGTATCAGTGAAATTCCTCCGTGTGAACAGGGAGGGCGAAAGTGTAAGAACGACGAGGCTTACTCGCGCATCTCGAGAATCGTTTTCAAGACGCATCCCACTTGGGATGGCCTGGCCAATTCCAAGAGCGATGTACACGAAGAAACGTGTTGCCGGACTCATCAATAGGCCTGTGTATCTCGAGAGACAATTATTTTGTGCCTTACGAAGTCAGCAGTATGTTTTGTAGCGCCTAGAATGACTTAGTATGCCAATCCTGGAGTGGCAATCCTTGCCACAGCAATTGCAAGTGAATGCGGTGGCAGCTCCAGAGGTATTTGTTGCTTTTTCTTTACATCGCTCCCTCTTGGTCTGCCAGGAAGTGTGTATTTTCTCCTCGCCTCTCCTGAGGCCTGTTTTCACAGCCTGCTGCCAGCTGAGTCGGTCGCCGGCACTTTTCTCCCAGTCACCTGGGTTGATGTCGCAGCTCTTCATGTCCCGTTTACAGACATCTTTGAAGCGCAGGACTGGGCGACCAGTGGCCCGTGTGCCTGATGCCAGCTCGCCGTACAAGACATCCTTGGGTATTCTGCCATCCTGCATGCAGCACACGTGTCCAAGCCATCTCAGGGGTTAGCCAAGTTGAGGGCTGAGGTGTTGGGAATGCGATCTCGCCATCTGATACCGAGGATGCCCCTGAGACATCGGAGGTGGAATGTATTTGATCGATGTTCTTGATGGGCGTATGTTGCCCAGGACTCAGACCCATAGAGGAGGGTGCTAAGGACGCAGGCCCGATACACCTGCACTTTGGTGTTGAGGGTTAGAGATTTGTTCTCCCACACTCTTTAGGTCAACCTGAACATTCCTGTAGACGCCTTCCCAATGCGCTCGTAAATCTCTGTGACGAGGGGCAAATTGCAGGTGATGGTGGAACCCAAGTAGGTGAAGTCCTGAACGACTTCCAGGGTGTAGCTGCCAATGTTTATAGAAGGGGTGTCCTGACATCCTGGCCCATGACATTGGTCTTTTTCAGACTGATTGTCAGGCCAAAGTTGTTGCAGGCATTGGCAAGGTGGTCGATGAGTGTCTGCAGACCTTGTTCTGTGTGAGCTGTCAGCGCGGCATCATCAGCAAATAGGAGTTTTCTGATGAGGACATTGCGGACTTTGGTTTTGTATCTGAGACGACCAAGGTTGAAGAGTTTTCCATCAGATCTTGTATGGAGAAAGACTCCCTCTTCTGCTGTCCCAAAGGCATGTGTGAGCATAAGTGAGAAAAAGATGCCAAACAGTGTTGGGGCCAGCACGCACCCCTGCTTAACACCGCTGAGTATGGGAAATTCCTCTGAGGTGGTGCCGCTGTGCTGTATTGTTCCTTTCATGTTGTCATGGAAAGAGGAGATGACTGCCAGCAGCTTCGGTGGGCAGCCGATCACTTTGAGGAGTTTGAAGATGCCTCCCCTACCGATGAGGTCAAAGACCTTTGTAAGACCAATGAATGCCAAGTACTGGACATTCACTGTTCTCGACATTTCTCCTGTAGCTGACGCAAGGAGAAGAGCATGCCAATCGTGGACCTTCCTGCTCTGAAGCCGCACTGAGCCTCAGGATACGTCCTCTCAGCTAGTATCTGTAACCTGCTGAGGACCACACGGGAAAAGGTTTTCCCCACGACGCTCAGCAGAGAGATGCCGCGGAAGTTCTTGCAGTCCCCACGGTCACCCTTGTTTTTATATAGTCCTCCTGATGTTGGAGTCTTTCATGTCTTGAGGCATTGCTCCTTCTTCCCAGCACTGGCAGATAAGTTCATGGAGTTTTGTGAGGATGGCGGGTTTCACACATTTCAGTACCTCAGGTGTGATGCCGTCCTGTCCCGGGGACTTGCCGCTGGCTAGTGAGTTGATGGCGTTGTCAAGTTCCTTCAAGACTGGAACATTGTCCAGTTCATGTTTCGTTGGTAGGGGCTTTACAACAGCAAGGGCAGCTTTTGACACACCGTTGTCTCATGAGTAGAGCTCTGAGTAGTGTTCTATCCACCTGGCCATTTGCTCTTGTTTATCAGTGATGATGGCCCCTGTGCTGGATTTAAGGGGGGCAGTCCTCTTGATGTTTGGACCAAAGGCTGTCTGGATGCCTTCATACATGGCACGGATATTACCAGTGTTAGAGGCGAGTTGGATCCTACTGCTGAGGTTCAGCCAGTAGTTGTTGGCACAGCGTCTGGCAGTCGTTTGAGCCGCACTGCGGGCAGCTATCAGAGCCCTTCATGATCCTGTACTTGGGACTTGCTTGTACTTCAGCAACGCCATGTGCTTGGCTTGGAGTATGGGTTCCAATATAGCCAGGTGTTCCTCAAACTAGTCTGTGTTCTGCCTTGTCTGCTTGCCGAAGGTATTGATGGCTACATTGAAGATGGCGTCTCTGATGTACGCTCACTTTGTCTCCACGCTTCCATCTGGTGTGTTGTGTAGGGACTGCTCAAGGCAGTGTTGGAATGATTGAGTGATATCTGGGAGGGAGGTTTTGGCAGAGTTGATGCGTAGATAGCACTTGTGTTTGAGGCGGTGTATCTTGTTGGGGCGTAGTCTGACCTTGCTGGATCCCAGTGAGTGATCGATGTCACAGACTGCACTGCGGTAGCTGCGTGTGATGAGTAGTGAGTTGAGGAGGGCTCGTGGGGTGATGACAAGGTCCAGTTGGTGCCAATTAAGAGACCTTGGATGTCTCCATGATACTTTATGGCATGGTTTTATGAGAAAGAATGAGTTTGTGATACAGAGATTGTGGTATGAGCAGAGCTCCAGTAGTCTTTGGCCACTGGCATTCATCTTCCGATGGCGTGATAGCCAAGGCACACGGGTCACACGTCGTGGTCAGCCCCAACCCTTCAATTGAAGTCTCCCAACAGAAGCATGTGCTCAGAGCTGGGGATGTTGCGAATAATATTGTGAAGCTCTTCATAGAACTGGTCATGAATCTCCGGAGGTGAGTAGAGTGTTGGGGCGTAGATACTCAGGATGTTTACATGGCCAGAAGCAGTGAGCAGTCTCATGAGCAGAATCCGCTCGGAGCCTGCGGTTGGTGGTTCTATCATGCCGAGGAGTGTGTTTTTGACGGCGAACCCAACAAACATGTTGCCTTGGTTCGTTCTGCTGTTTGCCTTGCCAGTAGGAAGTGTAGTCACTCTCTCGTAGTGAGCCACTGCCAGCAAGCCGGGTCTCCTGCAGCGCTGCAATATCCACGTGGAGTCTCGCCAGCTCCCTGTCGATAACTGCAGTCTTGCGGATGTCCTCAATCTGCAATAGATCTTCGGAGAGTCCAGAAGACATTGCACGTGCATTCCAGCTTGCAAAATGAATGGCTGGTACCTTCTTTCCTTTTGATTTGCCTTTGTCTGGTGCAGGTGTTGCAGGCCACGTGTCTGGTGATGAACCATAAGCTCCAAGCACCCATTGGAGCAGGTGAGCTGTGGCGGGAAAGCACCTTATTGGCCGGGGGCTGCCCAGCTTGAGGCGGGCGCTATCCATTGGGGTGCAATGAATCCTCCCACCGACGATGGCAACCCGTGGCGCCCATTTTTAACGCCAATCCAAAGTGAGCTTATAACTCGTGACTGCTGCCATCCGTGTTTCTTGGCCACGATTAGGTGGCCGAGGAGGAGTGTCTTCTCCCTCTCCCCATGTTTGCACCTCTTGTTGGCGCAAAGCCCGGGCAGGTTACTCTGGAAATCCTGGGTTGCTCATGCATCAGGATCCCCCCCCCCTCGACCTTGCTGGTGAGGTCCAAAGGAGTGCGTAGCACGACGTTTGGTACCAGTTTGGCTGCAGGGTGTGCCGGGAATGTGCCGCTGTTCATCACAAAACCACTTAAGGGGCCCCACTTCTGATTTTCTGTTGGGGTTTACTCCCTTAGCCATTGACTCTCCCGAGACACTCACAAGGCAGTGAGAGTTGTCGGACTAGCGCTCAAAGATCCACGAGAACGGGCCGGCAACCCGCTTGCTATACTGCTTCCCGCAAACACATCTCTGCTCCCGCCACCATCGACACCGGGGCTGTCACAGAGATAATCCCCGCACAGTCCACCAACCCCCCCCCACCACCGCCGCCATTGAGTCATTCTTCACAATGCGATGTGATATTAAAATATAAAAAATACCGAGTTGCCCATTTTCGCGAAATAAGTTTCCCTGAAGCTTGCGAGTGCATTTCACATTTTTTATCCTCTTGCTTCTGTGCTTTGATGTACAGTACTTCCAGTGTGAATAAAGATAACTTCAGAGTTATCCAACTGCAGTCCACACATCATCATAATAATCCGTAGGTCTTCCAACCATTGCAACTTCGAAATCTAAAGCACATAAGCTCATGCTGTCAAGCCATCCAAAAATCTGCATGACAAAGCACTACTTTAATGGGTAATAGTGATAAAAAAAACTTTAATTACTGCATCATTGCGAACGTTCATTTTTGTTATTTCATAAAGCAATTTGGCTGTACATAAATAAATAAAAATTACAAAAATTTGCAAAGATATTCCTAATTGGACGGTACGATTATGATGGATCTTAAAGCAAAGTGTCGCCAATTTGCGGCAAACCCTCTACACTTCTCTTCTCATCAGCAGGGCCACCCAAAGATTCCCGGAGGCCCGGGGCAGAATGCCGCGTGGGAGCCCCTTATCCCACCCTCTGTAGTCCCCGCTGTGGGGCCGCACGTACGTTGAACTTCTTTCGCGCCATACGTAGCCAACCGTGCTAATCAGAGGGCCCCAGGCGAACGCTTTGGGAAGTGTGTGCGCGCTACCTTCCACGTGGCGGCGTTGTGCCGGAAGTACGCAAATCTCCGGGTGAACCAGTTGTAGATCTCATTGAGGGTGAGCTGCTTGTCCGGAGATTCTACGATGGCCTATGGAAAGACGGGGGCGGGGGGGGAGGCGGGAGGAGGAGGTAGAGGAGGAGTAGGGAGGAGGAGGAGGGAAGAGCGAGGCGAGAAGGGAAAGGCAGGCGCGCCGCGCGCGTGCCGCGTTTTTACCTCTCAACGCCTTCACCACGGCGCTCAACATCGCGCGAACGTAAAGGGCACATCAAAAATTCATAATCACTGTCTCATTATTACATTCCGGGGAGGCAGACTCGCACTTAATAACGGCGCCCGTAATGACCCGAGTGCATTTGAGAAAGCCCGGATAGAGCGAGCCATCACAACTCATTGTTTTTAAGTGTCTGCTTTTACCCACAAACGCGTTTCAAAGAGCAAAATTTGCATATGCGGGCGATACGCACCTGCCTGATTAGGGACGCGTACGTGAAGGGCGGCCGGACCTCGGCATTCTGGTAGAACTCCTGGTTCTGTGCGAGCTCTGTTGCGACAATCACATGCAGCGTGGCTGCGAAACACCATCCCGATTGTACACACAGAAACCGTGGCTGAGCACACAGGGCACAGGAGAACAGTGGTCGCGCGCGCAGGAACCGCGGTGCTGCTCTCGCGTTCGGTGATGATGGGTCGTGACGACGAGACCCATTGTGTGTAAAGATGATGGTGATGATGAAGTCCATTGTATGTAAAGATGATGATGGTGATGGTGAGATCCATTCTATGCCAAGATTATAATGATGGTGGCGATGATATCCATTGTTTCTCATTATGATGGTGGTGACGATGAGATCCATTGTGCGCAAAGAATTAAAAAAGTATGTCTTGATGATCAACATGGTAACAGACTTTGATGATGAGAATTAATTTATGGTTCCATTAAATGTTAGGTTTCCATGATTTTGATGTTTTATTCATTTTTCTCACCAATATATCTTATGATCACAGTAATAGCCATTATATGATCGTCATGATTATGATGGAAAATGCAATTATATGATGACGATCGAGATTACATTTTGTTTTAAATCACTACACATTTTTAAAAGTATGAATCCCATTTCAATTAACCATTGGTTTAGAACTATATATTTTATCAGTAAAAAAGAAATCCTTCCACAGTATATACACATTAATTCGTAGCAAATGCTTAATATATATGTATGCATTTATGCGTGAACAAGGCAAATCTTTCACCGACATGGTAAACAATGACAACAGCGCGTGTTTTCGTTCAAGATTTTTTTTTTACGAAAAAACATGCATACGGCACGTTATCATTTCAAATGCCTAATTGCAACGCAACGTAATGTGACACGGTGTTTACAATTGCGCCTAATTAGCGCAAATAAATACGAGCGTGCGGGCACGTTGTTCGGCACACGGTCTCGCGCACGATGGCGCAGCCGACAGTGCCACATCGGAGGTGGTGCCCCTCCACCCCTTCTTGGCTTTGCGGTGCCGAGGGCAGCGGTTAAACCGATCGCGGTCGCCTTCGTGAGCAACACGGGGTGGTCAAGCCGATCGGCATCGCCTTCGTGCGCGACACGGGGCGGTTAAACCGATCGCCGTGGCCGCGACTCGCCACCGTCGTTTGTTCGTCTCCGAGCGAGAGCTCGAAACGGTGAACAGATTACGTCTCAAAGCGGCTCGGAGGGTTGACGCGAGCGAGCGCTCGTTGTTTGCGCGATGTTTGCTCTTTTGTACGGTGGTCTTCTTCGGATCGATGCCGGATCAGTTGGCGCGAACCCTGGCCCGACGCTAAAGTCACCCCAGTATGCGCTTTGAATTCTCTCGCGTGCGGCTATGCGGTCGGACGTGGGACAACATCGTGCGTGTACCGTGTGTGTACTTTGTGTGTCGTGTGTCATGTGTGTGTACCGTGTGTGTACTGTGTATTGGGTGTGTACTGTGTGTGTACTGTGTGTGTTGTGTGTGTCATGTGTGTGTACCGTGTGTGTTGTGTGTGTACTGTGTGTGTACCTTGTGTGTTGTGTGTGTACTGTGTGTACTTTGTGTGTCGTGTGTCGTGTGTGTACCGTGTGTGTACTGTGTGTGTACCGTGTGTGTACTGTGTGTGTACCGTGTGTGTACCGTGTGTGTACTGTGTGTGTACCGTGTGTGCACTGTGTGTGTACCGTGTGTGTACCGTGTGTGTACTGTGTGTGTACCGTGTGTGTTGTGTGTGTACTGTGTGTGTACCTTGTGTGTACTGTGCGTGTACCGTGTGTGTACTGTGTGTGTACCGTGTGTGTTGTGTGTGTACTGTGTGGACCTTGTGTGTACTGTGTGTGCACCGTGTGTGTTGTGTGTGTACTGTGTGTGTACCTTGTGTGTAATGTTTGTGTACTTTGTGTATTGTGTGTGTACTGTGTGTGTACCTTGTGTGTACTTTGTGTATTGTGTGCACTGTGTGTGTACTGTGTGTGTACCTTGTGTGTACCTTGTGTGTACTGTGTGTACTGTGTGTGTACTGTGTGTGTACCTTGTGTGTACCTTGTGTGTACTGTGTGTGTACTGTGTGTACCTTGTGTGTGTACTGTGTGTATACCGTGTGTGTACTGTGTGTGTACTGTGTGTGTACCTTGTGTGTACTGTGTGTGCACTGTGTGTATTGTGTGTGCGCTGTGTGTGTACTGTGTGTGTACTGTGTGTATTGTGTGTGCGCTGTGTGTGTACTGTGTGTGTACCTTGTGTGTACTGTATGTACTGTGTGTATTGTGTGTGCGCTGTGTGTGTACTGTGTGTATTGTGTGTGCGCTGTGTGTGTACTGTGTGTGTGCTGTGTGCATTACTCGGCAGACAGCTGTCTCCCCGTGCTCTTTCGCTTTGCGTGCCCTTGTTTTGGAACGCATCTACCGCATAGAGTGAGGGCAACCTAGGCATGCATATTAACACATTGGCATTCGTGACTGATGTGATATAGTGCAATTAACACATCAGCCGATACAATTATTCTCCGTTGTTACTACACCTTTCGAATGTTGCCAAATCATCTCAGAATCCGAATCTTAATTTATCCTGGAGAAATCTGATGAGCTATGAAGCTCTTTTTCACAAATCTGGAACGTCCCCATCCTCCCCACCCCGAGATCGAGTCAGACTTCGGAAGCTAAGCAGGGTTGAGCCTGTGTAGCGCTTGGATGGGCAACCACCAGGCACACAAATGCCAGGTGCAGGAGGTGTCGTGGGCAGTAGAGGGCAGTGAAGGAACATCCACCGTGTCTTCTGCACTCCCCTCTCTGCCAACCCGCACCCACCAGCGCGGTGAAGTATGCTCAGAAAACCCTCACCGCCCGCAACGGCATTGGGGAGGCCCTCATCCAGCAGTGGATTGACACCCGGGCTGTACGCACGCGCACACACACACACTCTGTCGCGTGCCGTGCCGGCCTTCACAGGTGCTCGCTAACAGCACTTGCCCAAACAGTCTCTTCAAGCTATCTGGGGGATCTTCGTCTTCTGCATATACGGATTATAAGGGGTATGATGTATGTGGGGTGTGGTGGTGCAGCGCTTAGCGATCTGCACTACGAACCAGGCTATTTAAGTAAGTTCGATTGCCAACCATTAATAAAATCAATCATGTGCCTTATACCGATGCTATCAAAATTTACCTGCAAATTACTCCATTTGGATTACACAGGTAGCAACATCGCCCCCGACTGCGGAAGCCCGGCAGGACCGAGGTTCCAACGCAACGGCAAGTGGCATCGAAACCTGTCGTACGCTTCGGCTAAGTTCACTCAGCTTTAAATGAGTGCTGGCTGTGGTGCGTGGAGCATCAGAGCACGAGGGAGACAAAGGCGGCCGAGCAGGGATGTTTGTTATACCACCACCAAAGCGCGTCGTGCTGGCATTAATAGGTGCTTGGTAACAACATTCATCCCAACACGTTTAATAAAGCAAAACGGGGGGGGGGGGGGGGGGGGGGGGTTGGATTTGAGGTTTCCGCAGCTCTGATGAGAATGCATTGTCCAGCTGCGTCAGGGTGCCACTGTGAGGGACTTCATCGTTTGTTGCTTTCAGGTCGCCCTGTGCCGCTGTGCGACGTCGCACACGCACACGCAGTCACGCACGCAGTCACGCACGCAGTCACGCACGCAGTCACGCACGCAGTCACGCACGCAGTCACGCACGAAGTTGGGCAAGGAGTATACGCACGCACAGTCACGCACGCACACACAGTCACGCACGAAGTTGGGCAAGGAGTATACGCACACACAGTCACGCACGCACGCACAGTCACGCACGCAGTCACGCACGAAGTTGGGCAAGGAGTATACGCACGCACAGTCACGCACGCACACACAGTCATGCACGAAGTTGGGCAAGGAGTATACGCACACACAGTCACGCACACACGCACAGTCACGCACGAACACAGCGTAGACACGAACAGGGAGTCGTACCTCTTTGTGTAATCTTCAGAAGTTATTTTTCCGTTTAGTTTCTTGTCCTTCTCCGGCACCTCCGATTAAACTGGGTGGCTACGTACGGCGCGACAGAAGTTCACCATACATACATACGGCAATCCGGTTGTGCGGTGCAATGGTTGGAGCACCACAGTGAAAAGAGTTTGCGTATGTACACACATACAAGTCATCTTTTCTTTTGTGCGCATCGAAATTTGGTGCTCTCCAACACAATGCTACGTCAGTGCCAGAGAAAATCAGCTCCAATGGTTGCCTTCAGCTTTTTCTTTTAATATCTCTCCCTCTTGGCTCCCGCGGACGGATGAGCGTTTTTATCGCGGCCCTCCACGGAGCTCCCGTCGGCAAGCACGTCGCAGCGGCGTGAGTGGCGGGCCAACAGCTCCGGCGGTATCGAGGTTAAGTGTGGTGGGATTCATTTGCAAGTGATGATGGTGGGGTGGGGGAGTGGAAAGAGGCCTTCACGCGTTCACACCTGTCTGGGTCTCCCGCGCTAACGCGCGTTCGGGAACGAAAGCGGGAGAGGCGCCGGGGTAGCTCTGGTGGAGCCGGGCACAGGGTGGGTTACAAAGGCGATGGGATATATTTTTCCACAAGCAGCTGTCAACGTCGCCAACCGCTGCCACGGCTACCGCCATTGGGGGGGATCGTCGTAACCGTTGCTGGCTTTGCGATCGCAACCACCATCACCGGCATCATCATCATCATCACCACCAAAATCTGCAGGATAATCATCAGTGGTGCAGCAGCAACAGAAGCGCTCTCACCTGATGACACGGGCAGGTTGTACTTGTCCGAGTGGCGCCGGCGAATGGGGCCCATGGCGTGCAGGCCGGGCGTGTGCAGCATGGGGGGGCCCGGCGGGAGCGCCGTGATGACGGACGTGGCGGTCGGGGTGCTGGCCGGGTGAGGCAGCATGCCCTGGGACGGAGACTCGGGGGTGCTCTTGGCCAGAGTGGCGCTCGACACCAGGTTCAGCTGCGGCAAAGACATCGCAAGGCGGGGGGCGTTATCGTTGCGCGCGCGCGTGAGTAAACCCGAGCACGAGCTTGTGCCTCTCTTTTCCACTCGCACAATCGAGCCGTGCCAGCGTGGGTCAGGGAGCACGGCGTTCGCTTTTCCACCGCGCAAGCCGTGGCGGGCAGCCGACGTCGAGACGCGTAAAGGTGACACGGTGACGCTGCGTTCTGTGTTCTATTGACTGACGTCACACACAAGTTGCACGTGTCATTATCCCTGCCCCTAGCGTGGCGAGATGTTAACTACCTCGCCTGCTATGCAGGAGGTCTTGGATTAGATCCCGACGCCTGCTATTTGAAGTTTTCATATTCTCCTCGTGGTCGTGTGGATTTTTCATCATCCCCGGGCAGACAAAGGTGGGAGGGCACTGACAACTTCATATGCTCTGCGAGTGTAGGAGATGATGACCAAACTGTCTTATAAGGCAGGCTCGACTCTGCTGATGATGAGACACTAAATGTCTAAACTGGTCCACAGTATGCTGCTACGTACTAAACCAATGCTTCAGAAAAAAAAAATCACTCCCAGAAGGCTGATTGGATGTGTACAAAATGTACCTTTAGAGGTTTTTTTGGAGAGGGCCAGATGTAGGAAGGATGTATAAAGTCAATTGCTAAATGCATGTGGCCAGGTTCTATTCCCAGCCGTGAAAAGCATTCGTGCCACATGGCATCTGAACTTGTCCGGGGACTCTCACCGATCGATTCTGGGGGTGAGTGAATGTGTAAAAGTGCATTTGTTGAGCGAGTCTGTGAATGAGCAGTAGTGCAGTGGTTATGGCCCCGGCGAGCCGAGTTCGATTCCCACTAACGATCAATAACAGTGGCTAATATTTGAACTGGTCCTGGGGCCTCCCCTAGGTCGACATGGGCACTGGGGAGACAAAGGCGCCCAGGCGTGGTGCTGGTCACCCACCCCCGAGTGTGCCCGTGCCGGCCTTCATAGGTACTCGCTAACAGCACTTGTCACAACAGCCTGTTAAAGGCTATACGGGGATCTTTGTTTTTGAATGTGAGTGCGTTTGAGTGTGTATTGAGTGTATGCATGCATGCATGCGAGTGCATATGTGAATGTGTACATAATAGGTGCTTAGTGCTAAAAGCACTTGGTGCCATGCTGTATAGGCTAACTTGAGGTCCATGTATATTGTCTTTATATATGTACTGTGTGTGTGTGAACAAATATAAACAATTTGGAACGAAGCACATGACCTATTACCCGCAAAGATCTCAGAAAGCTCAACAAAAAATCACATCAAGGGCACCGAACCATTAAAAAAAATGTATTTATATGCGTTGCAGGGTCAGCGCACTGGACTTGCAATCCGGAGATCGCCGGCTCGATCTCCCGGCACGGCAGTTAGTCGATAGGCAAGCGGCCTTTCGACTAACTGCACGATGACGATACAATACACACACGTAGTAGGATAAACATACAAAAACAATAATCACCCATTCGCACATGCGCGCAAGCGTGCGGGGAAATTAAGCGTGGCCAGCGACCAAAATCCCGGGAACCAACCAAGTTTTAGACGAAGATAAATAGAAAATGTGTACGGTTCCCAGAGTGACTTTGGTGACACCACTCAGTGGTGGTGTTGCTAACAGGTTCTTAGCCAGCGGGCTCTCAGGGCTAATTCCAACAAGGGGCTGTCACAGGTAGGCCTTTGATTAGACGAGCGATGCTCGGCGGAAATCTAATGATCACTTGCGCCTCGCAAAGAGATTGCATCCCGGCGCGGGCTGCGCATGCGACATGCATTATTTAACTGTTTCACCCTACAGTCGTCTTCATGAAGGCGTGAAATGAGGGCCCGTTGCTCATTGGTTTCACGGAGACGCTTCCCTCCGTAGCCCGCGCGGGCTACGACGCCGTCCGTCGCAAGAGGCCGGACTTTGCGAGCGGGAAAATAAATATAACAAATGCGATCGCGAGCACTTAAACACGGGGGCGTAATCAATTCACCGAAAATTGTCTGAAGAGGCATTCCGCTTCCGTGCGTGGGTTTGACGAAACGGGAAATTTGAACTCACGCCGCAAGTATCGGGGGGGGGGGGGGGTTAATTTGACAACAAAAAAATAATGTCGGAATTGCCGTGCGGCTTTGGCCGCCCGTTCGAGTACGAGAGGGCCCCCCCCCCGCACCTCCTGCAGAACGGGTGCCTTCTGAAACTCGCGAGTCGTGGGATTGAATTACCGCACTCCTCTGCAGTCCGTGGCACCTGCCGTACCGCGTCAAGGTGGGGTGGGGGCAACAGTCGGCACAGCAGCGTCACGCCGGGGGCTCCGATGCATCGTCGTGCGCGAGCAGACGTCGGGGAGCGCAGAGGGCTTTGTTGTAATCTTTGCCGTCGGTTACGCCACGAACAAACATGTTTGTTCTTTCGCGAGGCGCATTGTTTTGTTCTCCCGTTAATTATTCTCGGGTTCGACGCGGCGAATGTAATTGATGCACGGACTTCCCGGCGGTCCGCCTTTGTGTGTCCACGAAAGCACATTGGCGAATCTTCGTTAATGTCTGGGGTCGTAGCGGTCTCGCGCACATGCCACCGTGGTTTAAGGTTTAGCCTCCGTGGACTGTTCATCCAGAGGCTGTCGGTTCAATTCCATCTCCCGGGGTGGCAACCGGAATGGTTGGACAAGTTTATTATATCGACCGGCCCGTGTCACGCCTAGCAGAATAAAGGGGTTCCACCGCAGTCGACAGGTCATGTGCAGTGGAGGCAAAGTGTCGGTGTCGCTTCCTCTTTCAAGAAGTCTGGCCAGCATAGTCGACGAAAAAGCCCAATACACCCTCTAGCGCCTCCGATTAGCGCGGTCGGCTACGTATGGCGCGAAAGAAGTTCAACAAACGTGCAGAAGAGCTTGTCAGGGATGGATTCTAGGACCACGTCGGTTTTCGCGGTAGGGTCCGCGTGGCTCTCTGCGATGTGTCTCCGTGTCGTGTACTTAGGCACGGTGTCCGACGTTTTTCACCGCGCGCTGGATGGGAGCTTCTTTAGGAATTGAATATTCAGCTCGTTTTAAAACAATGCGGTGGACGTAGCGGCCTCAGCTGGCTGCAGAGGATCACAATCAGAAGTAATTAAAATGTGGAGAAAAGATGAAAATCATTTGATGCGTGCAGCTGTGAGCTCAACAATTGGAGGTGCATCGTTGCACCTATAATTAGACGACTCAACCCTATCATAGCAATGTGGAATTTCTACTGCTGGCTGAGATGTGCAGCCGTTTTGGTAGCAAACCCTTTTTTCATGTTTTAGGTCCATCCTATATCCTGATTGTACCGAATGATTTAATCACAGCACAGAGCATGTCTACATGGGCTCTTTACCATGTGTTGTCAAACTCTCACTCTAATAGAAATGAGCAAACATTGACAAACTACTCTCATTGCAACCCGGGGCCTGGCCATCAAAAGGTTACCGAACAATGAATTCGGTTTACTGACTCAGACCTTTGAGAAATTGAAATTCTTATTTGAGAATGCAACTTAAACGGTTACTTAAAAGATTACAACAAAGATTAAGGCTTGGCAAGTTTAAATAAATAAGCAGATTACCATTTATTCTTGGGTAATTCATTGCTTTCTATTGTAACTGACCTTTTCCCCACGCTGTAACGCATCGATTATTGCTGGTATACATTTGTGTTGTTCGTATGTGTTGCTGCGGTTAGCGGTCGTGCAGCGGTGAGCGCACTGCGCAGCCAACCCAGCGATCCGGGTTCGATTCCCGCTCACGGTCAACAACAGTAACAGCGATTATCTGAACCGGTCCTGGGCCTCCCCTAGGTAAACTCAGCCTCAAATGAGTACCTGGTGTGGTGTGTAAACATCACCATTAGGGATACAAAGGCGGCCTGGCGTGGTATTGGCCACCTACCCACTCGTGTGCTGTGCCGGCTTTAATAGGTGCTTGCTAACAGCACTTGCCCCAACAGTCTGTTGAAGCTATATGGGTGATCATTGTCTTCGTTCGTACGTACAGAGATATGAATGCTAAGGTCAATCCGGCACACAGCATCCCAGACCATTAGGACCCTGGAGGGCCCTCTCTCTTTCAAGGGGGTGGGGGGGGGGCATTTAGCGTACCCTTGACACAAACCAGACAGGGTAATAGACACAGGGCTCACCCACGCTTTACCCCACCACGAGCCACCCGCCGCCGTTGTGGTGGGGGGTGATTGGGAGGTAAATGCACGATGGCGAGTCTCATCATCGCTGTTCAGTCCGCGCGACGCAGTATATAACCGTACACACACGTTGGAAAATTAAAACCATTTTGAGAGCTGCGTTAAACAGAAACACGATGGCAAATCTGGCCGCATTTTTGCACGATAAGGAACGTCTTTGCAGCTGCGAGGCTTCAGCCGACTGGAAAAATTTGACGGCGACCTTTACCCCGTCATTAATTTCAAATGATGGATAATAACACGCGCGCACTCGCCGAGGAATTGCATTAATTATAAAATCATGACAGAATGCAGCTGTGGAGGAAAAGAGAGGCTCGGAGAAAAGAGGGAGGGAGAGAAAATGTGTGCGAGCGAGAGAGAGAGAGGAGAGAGAGAGAGAAAAAAAACGCAGACAGACAGAACGACATGGAGCTAGCTGACCCATGCTGCCAGGCTTAATTTCCAGTTAGGCGCATGCCGAGCGTATTGCTATTATACTGTCTCACGTCAGTAACCTGCGCTGTTAATTTTGCCGAGAAGCGGCAGCGGGCTATGAATGCTCCGAGTGTGAAAATGGGTTTGAACCGTTCGACACCATCCAGCTACCTCCCCTCTCCGTGCCCCCCACTCACCACGGCCCCCCCCCAACTCTCGGTGGCGTAACCCCACTCTCCTCCCAACACCTCCCCCCGCCACCTCCCCTTCCCGCACTCCATTACCCCCCTTGGCTTCGGGATCCCAAATGCGCACCCTCTGGGCCCTCTGGGCCGCCACCGTGGCGTTCA